GTAAACTGAATGAGTTTCCAGTGTAACAAAACTCTGACACATAATGTCTCACAAAACCACAAAGTGGAATCATTGCATTTTTGCTACATCAGATGTTTGTGTTGGCTCTCAGTCATCCGGGTCACGGTCGACTGGACCTCTTAGAACTGAAGAAGCCTCTTGGATGGGAAGTGAAACATCTTCAAGAAATTGAAAGAAGTCCAGCCGCTTTCTTGGAGATGCTCCAAACTGTTACTTCAGTATTTTGTTTTGTTTAGAGATGTACTACATGCTACACTTATGTAGCTAACATATTAACTAAATATGTCGAAATGCTAGCTATCAAATGGCAAGGTGTAATTAAGTGTATAAACATTGCATTTCGTTTTTCTGGGGGTTGCTGAAATGTAACAACATCATAATATGACATAATTCAGCTTTTGTGGATATGAATTAAAGGTTGTTGTGTGCTGTTGTGATATTAAAACAATGCAAAGCTTTTATACGGAGCATAAATTAGGTGCCATTTAGCCCATTGGTAGGTGGGTGCTAGGCAACATAATGACTTTGCTCAACTCCTGAATAACTTCCATGGTTTTGTGATCACAGCTAAGCTAATGAAACAACCAAAGTTAGGTTTAGTATTTTGAGTTTAGAAAATGAAAAACGGTTGTCTGAAGCATAACAATGAAGGATGTTATCTGTTTTATGGGGAGGATAGATTTTATATATGATACCAATATTAATGACTGCCTCTCCCATCAGACCAAATCATCATGTAATCTCACCACCATTCAGCTCCTGGTAGGGCTTTAGCCTGGACTATGGGGCCATATTTTATAGATTTGAAGAGCAAGACAGGGAAGACCACATTATAGAGGAGGCTACTACAATTTATTGATTATTTCTCAGGACAACATAAATCCAATGAAACTGCTGAGCTTGTCTTTTCTTGACTAAACCAAATAAACAAAAAAAGGTAAACAGCATCGTAATAACGTGCGCTTTAAAATTCTACCCTTGGAAAATGAAAAAGGCAACACAGAAAAACCAACGCAACTTTAAATCGAGTCGAGGGAAGAACTATACGTGTGATTACGGATTGTGTGTGAGTGCGTTTGTCACCAGCGCGCTGCTTTGTGTGTAACGGACAAGCTGCTTCCTATCGCCTCCTCTATCAGCATAGTTCACAGGAAACTAAACAGCACTGCAGGCAAGCCATTTAACTGGCCTGACAAAGCAGCAATATGTCACAGAGAGAGGGAGAAGACGACGAAGAGAGGGGAGGAGGAAGACGAGAGGAGGGGGGAAGTTGGACAAAGCAGTGATTGGGGAGATAAAGGAAAAGTGATTGAAAGGAGAGGAAAGAGATAAAAGAGATGAGAAAGCGAGGGAGGAGAGACGCGCACGAAACCATGAGTCACGCCGAATGAAGCCAATTTCTTGACTCCACACGACAGTAACTTGTTATTCTACCAGTGATTATCTTTTTATCTGGAAACTCGAGTGAAAGCACACAGTTCATTAGTTTCAAACCAAAGATGAGATGCGGGCCTCAGCTAGCCAATCACATCACATGTAGATTAGGCTTATATTTGGTGTTGTGACTGCAGAACGCATTCCGGCCCTCATCCTGGAGAGAGTTACGCAGACACGGCTGGGGACTCGCAGAGTCGTGGCACAGACGCCGCCGCGGTCGCTGGCGCTTTCCACCGTGGGGAAAATAAAACTGCCGCTGCAATTCTGTTTGTTTAAGCCATTTCTGCTCTGCGAGATAAAACAGCAGAGGGGGGAAAGCAAAATGGGATGGGGGGGTTTTCTTCTTATTAATGTGCCCTACAAAGCAAACACTAACTGCCTTTTTTGTTTGGTTTAAGGCTTAACATTTAAGCGTTTATGTTTCCCTAACAATAGACAGTGTCAGCTATGTATTTACCAGCTATATGCTGGTGAATGCCAACTTCTGTGGCAACATTTTGTACTGAGGCAGCAGCAGGTGGTTCGTCTTCCCTCTTTTCTCCGCTCACAGGTCTACTTTTATTTGCTTTGCAGGATAAAAATAAGAGTAGAGAATAGTTCCTGCTGCCTTTAAAGTACATCGGATTATTTTGGTGCTGTTGTGAAGTAATTGTAACCAAAGCTATTGTTCCTCCTACTTCCTGGCTACCTTAATCCTTGGAGGGTTAAGTTGCCAGAAATGAGAAGTACCCTGACCTTCTTTTTAATAACTGGAAGACTCAAAATGGTCTCAAAATATGCTGACACACACAACCTTCCCATATGGAAAAGAAATATAAGAAAAACTTATAAAAGACTTGCATCAAATCTTATATCTGTTTTCACTCTTGTATGCTTTACATACAAGTTTCACACAAGACAGATACAAACTTTATAAGATTTATATATATATCTTTTACTGTAACGGATGCTATCTTGTGTTTTGAATGTGGGAAGGAAACCTCAGGAACAAGCCTCATTTCTCCAGACTAATAAATGTAATAAATGAGAGACAGCACTGAAATAAAATAACTTTTTGCAGAGTTTTTATGGAAAAACTCCAGGATAAACCTGTGTCAATTTTAAAAAATGATCTCAGTTTAGCGTTGTGTGAGCTGTAGCCTTGGCAGCATAAAACTGTAATCCAGAAAAATGAAGTCTAGGATTGGAGGGATGTTTGAATGCACTTTGCAGAAGATTTTAATTAGATTTTTTTACATGTTCTTTTTCTTTTTAAATTACAGATTTACTTTGCTAAAATTAGAAGTTCAAAAATAGATAAAAAATACCAGATGGCAGATTAAGTGAACCCCCCCAACATCTGCTGTCTGGATGTTTGTGAGGAACCTTGGAGTCATTTTTAAGCAGAGCTTTTCCATTAACCTGCACGTTATACATTTAACTGAGACTGCCTGTTTTAATAAGCACAGAAATTATTATAACCTGTAAGTACTTATTACTGTTTTAAAAATTTCCTGAAAAGCTTTTGGATTTTCCAAAACGTGACAGGAAGAACACTGAAAACTGCCACCTTGTTAAATCCAGAACTGAAGTGAAAAATCGTATTCCTCACATTCAATGTCCTGCACGATCAGGCCCCATCATAACTTCAAAATGTCACATAACCCCAACAAAACACTCAGCCTTGTGTGTTCTGTTGGGGTTTGCTTGAGTTTGCTTGAGTTTCTAAAAACTGAATGGGAGGCAAAGCCTTCAGCGTTTTGGACTAGCTGCAGTTGGCCAATTAATGTAGCGGTAATGCCAGAATAGAGGCTATTATAGAAGTCGAGACGAGATGAGATGAAGGCATGGATCGCTTTCTCAAAATCTCTGAAGCCACTACTGTATGACTTGATGCGTCAAGCTAAAGCAGAGATGAGTCACCTCAGTTCTTCAGACTGAAGAATTCGCTTGGGTAAGTGACGAAACATTTCTCCCACTAAAACATTACATCCAGATTAACAGCATCAACTTTTTGGGACTGCTGTAGAGCATTCGATTTTATCCTTACTGTCCCAGCTTGGGTTTCACCCTTAGTCTATGTAGTGGAATTACGTTGTTGCCCCTCCCTGAGCCTTCCTATCAATAAAAGGGAGTTCTTCCTTCCCACCATTGCCAAGTGTGACTCATAGGAAGCTGATTGTTGATTGTTGTGGTTCAATGTGTCGTGATCTGCAGGGAATGCAGATCATGTGTTGGAAACTGGAGCCAAAAGCAAAAGGTTGATGATAAAGTACAAAATAAAGACGAGGGAAAGGTGACTGAGACACAAGTGGAGACGCAGCAGAACTGCATTAAACCAAGGAAGCAAAACAAACCACAATGCACACGAGGTGAGAGATCACCAAAATAAAACAGGAAGCATGACCGCTGAGACTGAGCTAAACAAACACGAATGCACGATGGACCACATACAGGGGACGCTAGGAAGAACATACAGAGACAAGACTAAGATGAACACGGGAGGGGACTAACTAAGAGCTAGAAACATGAATAACTAAACAATTAAACACTGAAAATACTAAACTACAGGAGATGTAACAGGAGTTCTCGAATAATACATGAAAAGGAAACTTAACAACCTAAAGATACTTAAACAGAACCTGAAAAATCAAACACCAAAAAACTTTATTTGAAGTTGTAGAGTCCTGACACTGCATATATAAAAGTGAATGAACAGTTAAAGAATTGCTTTTGCACGAGTGTCCCAGGACAACAGGAAGCAGCACTCATCTGCCATGTTGTTTTTAGAATCAGAGGAAACCTGTGAATGGGTTCACAGCTTTCCACAGGTGGTTCTGTGAATGCAGACTCTACACAGGGATTTACTGAAGCTTGAACCCAGGAACATCTTGCTTTAAACGGTACTAATCACTGAGCCACCGTGCGTGAAATTACAGTGCAAACAACTATGCCTTAGTTGCTACTGAGAAAACCTCCCAATGCTTTAGCACAGTTGAGCTTTATCTGGCAGACGTTACTGTTCTTAGAGTGGATCATAAACCATCACAGTTTGAGACCTGCACAACCATTAGATCAGATTCTGTGGTTTTTAATGGCTTTTTGTATTTTGCCTACATTCCTGCTCAAAACAAATTGCCGTTCATTAAACATTTTATGTGCACTTCAAGGGCAGACGGGTTTTTTTTGCTTCCCGGAACGAGCACGAACATAGTGAGAATTTAAAACAGAGGAAGTTAAATGAGTTGACTGTGTGTTAGGTCACTGTTGTGCTGTAGGAACACATCTTCTTCATCCACAAATTTAAAGCCAAATCAACAAAACTGGGAGAGTTTTTGCCACAAAAGCACAGAAGCGCTGCATCGCAACTACAACTTTGAAGCGGGTTTATTGAGAAATATTGAGCAGTCTGAGCTGTGCAGGTGGAGGTGTGTTTTTTCAGTGTGGTAAGGGCACAGAGGAAGAAAAAAGAAGAAAGAAATGAAGCTGCAGAAACAATGCGGAGAAAAGAGAGAATGTAAAGACAGAGAGCAAGAGCAGCATCGGTAAATCCGGTCACTTACTTCTACCTCACCTCCCAATCGATGTGCTTGACCTTTTCTGTTCTCTCGGTTATCAGCAGTGGCGAGTCTCTCCGTCGTCGCCTCTCTCTTTGGCTCTCCCTCCTGCTGTACCAAAACCTCTGTCATCTGTCACTCCACGCCTCCGGAGCGAGGGATCAGCAGCATCATCCATCTGCCTGCAGTGAAAGAGGGAGGAAAAGGGCAAAAAAAAGGAAGAGAAAAATGAGCTATTGACTTTTTGATGCTCATTTGTAAAACATTTCAGTTCAAAACAGAGGTAAAAGTGAGTGAAAACACAAAACCACACTAACTCCTACACACACCCACACTCCAGCAGCAACACCACAACTGAATGTACCATTAATCGTCGGTTCTTTCATCCAGCAGAAGCACAGTGGCACTGAATAAAGACTTATATTATTTTTAGGAGCTAGAAACATTAGAAAAGCAGGAAAAGGCACTTAGTTAAATATCTGTTGTGTAGTATGTTATGTGGAATAAATTGCAAACATGGTACAGAGCATCAATTTTAACTGTGTGAAATAAGATAAATCCTATTTAGGGCTCTCTGTTTGCCTGTGTTACTAATGTTGCTGTTCAGTACGTGAGGATATTAAACAAACTCATCTTATGTCATTAGCCTCATACGACTCACATTGATCAATGACTGGTGGGCCGGACCAGGGGAACTCCCCTTTCTGTCAGTAAAAGAAGTTTGTCTACACATTTAATCCCTGAGATATCTTAGTATAAGAAAAATAAGCGCAGGTTCAATAGTACATTTTAGTTTTTCTACATATTAAAGAAATACTGCTGTAGTAAATGAAGAAACTGCTGATTGCTCATTTGCCAAATGGTCCTGTAATTATAAAACTGAAAATCTCTGTTCTGTTATTTGTTTTTTGTCTGTAAAAAAAACAAAAACAAAAAAAACAGAAATTTTGATAATCAGAGGTAAAACTAAACCTTCTGCTATCTGAAAATCTTCTTATAACATATTTAAAAGTTTGGAGTCTTTGCCAGGACAGTTATGGCCCTCAGGCCTTATGTTTGACACCAAAAATGCAATCAACACAATTCAGTTTTATTTACATGGTGCCAAAGCAAAACAGTGTTTATAGGACATTATATTCCTTATACATGTTCAGTGGTATTTTCTGATTCATGTCATTCATCAGCAGGAATGATGAGACAGAGTACCGGGCTGTGGTCGACTCCTTTGTCACGTGGTGTGAGCAGAATCATCTGCAGCTCAACGTGGCAAAGACCAAGGAACTGATCGTGGACTTCAGGAAGACCAGGAAACACTTGACCCCTGTTTCAATCCAGGGGGTCAGTGTTGACATTGTGGAGGACTATAAATACCTTGGAGTACACATTGACAATAAACTGGACTGGGCTAAAAACACCACAGCACTTTACAGGAAGGGCCAGAGTCGTCTCTATTTTTTGAGGCGACTGAGGTCCTTCAACATCTGCCAGAAAATGCTGAGGATTTTCTATGAGTCTGTTGTGGCCAGTGCGATCCTCTATGCTGTTGCATGCTGGGGGAGCAGGCTGAGGGTCGCAGATGCCAACAGACTTAATAAACTGATCCGTAAGGCCAGCAATGTTGTGGGGATGGAGCTGGACTCCCTCAAGGTGGTGTCGGAGAGGCGGATGCTGTCCAAGATAAAGACAATGTTGGATAACACCTCCCACCCACTCCATGACATGTTGGTCAGTCACAGGAGCACGTTCAGTGAGAGACTGAGATTACTGAAAAGCACCACTGAACGACACAGGAAATCTTTCCTGCCTGTGGCCATCTCCCTGTACAACGCATCCACTTAACACACTGTTTGCTGCTACAACTACACATGTTTCTTTTTCAACTATTTATTTATGAGTGACTTATGTATGTATGTATGTATATATATGTATATATTGTACTATTCTTAGTTAATGTATTGTCTGTCTTGTCTTAATGTTGGTTTAAAATGGAGCACTGTAACAAAAAACAATTTCCCCCAGGGATCAATAAAGTATTCTGATTCTGATTCTGATTCTGATTCGTCACGTATCTTTAAAAAATATGTTTGTTGTTATGAATATTTTCAGGAAAAAATTGTTTAATGTGAAACACACAGGGCCCACAAGTTGAAGTTGAAAAAGTATGTGTTCAAGAACTTTTTATCATAGATTTCTTTTATTTCATTGATTTCTTTTCTTACTACCTTTTCTAGATGGCAAAAAAATAATATTTATGAGTTTTTAGAGTTGGAAGAAGTTTTCTTCTTAGGGTTTCTGAGCTCAGCCAGATAAGTCGAGGCTCTCAGTCAGTCAGGAGGGGTCCTCTGCACAATCAGGCACGACTGGGACACCAAGTGGGTGCCTCCTAGGTTAGGTGTTTCCAGCATTTTGTACTGGGAGGAGGCCCCAAGGTAGACCCAGGGCGCACTGGAGAGGTTTGATGTCTCGACAGGCTCGGGAATGCCCTGGTTCTCCCCCCGGAAGAGATGGACGAGGTGGGTGGTAGGTCCGGATGTCTCTGCTTAAACTGCTGCCCCCATGATCCGAACCCAGATAAGTAACGCAAATTAAATGGATGGATAAAGCTGCAATTTTTAACCAACCACCCACAATATAAAGCACATTGAGGAGACTGTGGTTGTGATTCGGTGCCATATAGATAAACTGAATTAAACTGAACACATTAAGAAGACAATAACTGGTTGATTCTGTGTATCATGCTTCTCTGAGGTTCATCACTAACCGTAAATTTCAGACTCACCACTGTGAGTTATACTCTCAGGTAGGATGGCCTGCTTTGGTAAGTCGGAGGAACTGTCATTTATACAGTTTTATATATAAGGCGATACTTGGGTTGCTGCCTTCTTATCTATGTTCCCTGCTTGTAATGAAACATGCTGGGCGGTATTCTCTTCGTCCGCATCGTTACTTGTTGCTTTCTGTTCCATTTGCCCAAACTGAACTTGGTAAAAGAGCTTTTGTCCATTTAGCACCCTTGGCCTGGAACAAACTGCAGAAGGAATGGAAAATGACTGAACTCATTTCATTAAGTGATTTTAAATCTAAACTACGAATCCTTGAGGCCAAGTCCATAACATGCAACTGTTTCAATTAGATTGATTGTCATTTTAACTGACTTTTTTATTTTATTTGAATTTTATTGAATTTTATTTTTTTATTTTATTTGTATTCTTTCACTTATTTTTGCATGTGTGTTGTTGCTGCCTGTGTTTGAGTAATTTCTGTAACTGTGAGACATCTGCTGCTGCCTATCTTGGCCAGGTCTTCCTTGAAAAAGAGGTTTTTAATCTCAATGGGATCTTCCTGGTTAAATAAAGGTTAATAAATAAATAAATAATAACTCACACTTAGTAGAGTTTTTTCAAAGCTGGATGGGAAAAAGTGACAAAAATCCAACAATTTCTCAAACTAAGTTCAGATATGGTACTTTGTTCTTTCTTGATGAAATTTTGGTTGATCATTTGGTTAAAACTGCCACCTAAGCTTCACTGAAACACACTGAAATAAGTGATGACTGCAAGGTGTTCAAATCACATTACTACCAATCAGCACCCAGGCCTGTGTACAGGCAGGTCCCACATGTGTAACAGTGACGCTATTTGATGCAGCTCTGACACAAAAATCAAATGTCGTGCTCCATGTGGCATGCGTTGGATGGATATGGATTGTGTTTAAATGTCACACGGGTCATTTCCATCAGCGTGGTCACTAAGCCATGAGGCCACATAATGGACTGGACAGATGGAGCAAAGTTACAACAATAAGACAGCCTGGCTGGAGTCAGTCTGCCAGGTGGGTTAAATAACAGAAAGAGATGCTGAAAGAGTTAGAAGCCAAAGAAGCCCACTGTTAAAAGCTAACATTGAAAAGCTACCCTGAAAGGAGATGACTGTGCGTGGTGTTGCAGTTTAAGGAATATAAAGCCAAAACATTATCTTGAAACTGGGGGTTCTGCATTGCTCGATTTCTCTTGACGAAGCACCTGGATTAGTGTGTTTTCTGTCAGTAAAGAAGAGTGGAGAGGATAAGCTAAATATCGTACTTGGCAGACAAATTAATGGCACATTCAACACTCCAAACAGAAATCCTGACACTCTGCAATAATTAAACATTTAAAGAGGATCCAAAAGGCAGTTATCTCACAGCGAGCCAAGCTTATATAAAAGCCTATCCTTCACAGCTCAAAGTGTTACAGAAGGGAGGGACAAGAATGGGGAAAAAAAAGTCATAATTAAGTCTGTAATATAATCCTGAAACACCTAAATCCCACAGAAAATTATTTTTCTTACAGGTCTATTCCTTTGACTCCATTATACCCTATGTACATGTGCTTATAGCCTTGGGAGTCTTATTCTAAAGCAAATACATTCAAATATATGCGGGAACAGGAAACCAACACGCTCGAGGCATAAGACCCGAAGTGGCACGAGTGACATTTGGGATGAATTCACAGAGCGCCTACTAATCACAGCAACAGCTGGTAAAAGTGACACACAGACATCAACAGATGCCATTTTGGCAGAGCTGAACAAAACAGACTGGAAACGTGAAGGATCCAAAGCCAGCTTCATCATGGAGCTCCTCTGATGTTTGGGAAAAGGGAAGCATAGTGACCTCTAAGCAAGAAAAGTACTGACAAAACTGCTCATCCTCTCTATAATGCCTGATTTATGCTTCTATGCCGTAACCTTCATCGCCTTTCAGTCGTTGACTTGAAACATAGCTCTGCTTCTCGGGAGGTGCACCTCAGGTTACTTGGAAGGTTATGGCATAGAGTTAAAAGGGGATTCCAGTTACATCGTAAGTCATGACGTAGATTTCCTGCTGAAGCGTAATTCACCCATAAGGCTGCTTCACCACAGCAGACCAATACAGCTTGCATGGAGAAGCTAATTTTCCACTCTGAGAAAAACCTGTTGGTTCAGTTCACGTCTCATAGAGAGAATGCACAAGTGAGTGGAAGGACGGCGCACTTAGGAGACTCTCCTATAGACGTCTATTTGACTTTAATGCCTTGCTTTCATTCAGTAATTACTATGTACAACATAGTAAAAGTGCAGGATTGTATCTTCACCACTCGTCTTGAGCTGCTCGTAGATTTACCTGGCAGAAATTCAAAGAAGCTTGTGTAACAGTGTTAGGG